TGAACATCATGGTGAATTTATGTTACACGAGAATGGTACCCCTATGCCTAATCCCGCAGTTGTTCCATAATCATCAGGTTAGTTAGTGAGTTGTATTATTATTTATTTATTGGTTACCATGTTGTCGTATATACCCTATTATGTGTGAATGTGCAGATGTTGCATCATTTTGGAATGTGATTCCATATTATGAGGCTGTTATTTGGGATTACCCCAATGAAGATATACTGGATGTTGAAGGCTTAGGTCGAGGTTCGTAGACAGGAGGAGATCCATTATATGTCAAACAAGAGTTCGAGTCAAAGCACGATGTTTAGGCTGCAATAAAATATTACTACATGAAGGCTCGTCAAGAAGCTGTAGTTGTTGAGAGTGCTACGGATAAGTAGTATATGAAATGTCAGAACCTCAAACAAGGTTGCAATTGACGAGTAAGAGCAATTAAACTGAAGAATAACAACACTTGGGTGGTTGGTAAATGGGTTGGAGATCATAGTTGTGTGAGCCAATTCCTTTCCCAGGATCACAGACAACTTGATTCTGAACTTATTTCCACAGCCATATTAGGTACAATGTGCAATACTATCTGCTCGTTTTGATGATTATTTGTGTTTATCAGTCAACGAAAATAGCATTCCTAATATATAACAAATGCGTGACTAGTGCTGACGTGGACTGATAGTCATGTACCAAAATGATGCGGGACTGATGCAAATAACTCACTTGGCAGCAAGTCTCGTACTACAATGGTGTGAGACTGATCTTGTACCATTCAGATACGTGTTTGACTCCATTAATTTGGTAAAACATATCAAATGCAAATCTTTTACCAAATAATCTCACTATGGTGTTTTTGCCCATACCTCTATCTCATTGATAATTGTTATATTCACATACTACACTCCATCGAATGAAACATACCCAATTTCATCACACCAACAATTGAATTTTGATAACGTAAAAGATTATTGTCAAATAATGTGTTATTATCACATTATTAATAAATTTGATATTTGATTATAGCACGCGAGATAATGGGGAGGGATGGGCCAGGGCCTCCCCTTTAAGTGCATATGCTGATGATGTGCATGGGCATGTGCTTTTACAGAGGATCACTCGTTTGTGATGAAGGTAGAGAAGGAACCAGCACATGGTGATACTAGTGAGACAGGGCACTGAAACCATGGCATGGGATACACTCTTATTCAAATCAGGATTGTTTGCTGGTGTTTTATCGTATTCAACTATTCGTATATCATACACTAATCATTGTTTTTCATTGTCAACTCATCGAACTGTGTGGAAATGGTGGTGGTCCAATATCAAGAACTTATCGAGTTAAAAATATCACTTTCAGGGGTGTTTGGTTCAAGTTTTTGGAGAGGATTACCGATAATTCTTCTTTAGTAAATGTAATTACCACGTTTGGTAGAAGGAATAAATTACGATTCCCGGATATCCAAGGATTACCGGTAATTTGATTTATAAAGAAAAGTCACAATTCAGATTACCAAAAATAATATGGTAATTCGGAATACCAATCAGAATACCAAGTAAAGGGAAAGCACAACAATAAATTTTGAGACAAAAATACCCCAATACACATAAAAATCTAGACCCAATCTATCAATTACAAAAATAAAAATAGTTTGGGGTTATTTTTGTAAAATAACCTCATATTCCAAGTCATATTTCGTTCTAAACCAAATATGGAATCATTAATTTTTACCCAATATTCCCGGTAATATTTTGGCGAACCAAACACATCTTTCGTAAGATTCCAAGTAAACTCAATTTCTACTGAATTCCCATTAATCATGATTCCCGGTCACCAAAAAATTTCTCATGTACCAAACACACCCTCAGGATAAAAGGGTTGCCTAGAACTTGATGTACTTTTGCTTTCTCTATTATTAAGTTAAGATAGTGGGTTTAGCGTCATCAAGAGTTCATGTTAATACAGAGAGTAAATTAAGAGGAATTAATTACTCTTTATTATGATGAAGCAATTACTCTTTATAATAAAATTATCAATTCTTCTAATTAATTTTGTTTATCCAAACTTTACAACAAGTGTCACTCCCTCTATATCAAGATTATTAGTATTATCGAATTGGATGCATGAAATACGATTTCAGATTATTTATTTCTAAAAGAATAATGTATAAAACTATTATGATTAAAAAATTAACAGTATCGGAATTAGTTGGCATGATCACGTGAAAAATCTTGGTCAATGCTTTGACTAAAATGAATTACCTACATAAGTAGTTGAGATTTTCTAACTGGATCTTTGTGGCTTGAGTAGATACTGCAAACTAGAGAGGAGTTATAAAAGTTGAAAGCTAAAGCGTTAAGTTATTAGATTGTATAATTGCTTATTTCCAAAAAAGATTGTATAATTGCTTTATTATGATTGGTTCAGGTATAAACTTTGAGTAATCAACGATCACTTTCATTCATTTTATATAGCGATGCTTGTGTGGATTCATGTAACTGCTGTAACAACTTTGAACGTGCTAAAGAATATAAGTAAATATAATAACGAATTACATTTGTGTAGCTTCAAGAACGAGGTGATCTATTATTAATTTTAGTAGTTGATTGTACTTATATCTAATGATTTATATAATTATTAAATTAGAGCCATTATATACTGATAAATTTGAGTCATTAAATGAAAATAAAGTTAATAATTAAATTAAGAATAAAATTATTATTATTTTTTTTTTTTTGATAACAAAATTTTTATATTGTTATAAGTTGATCCTACCCTAATGAAATATAAAACTGTACTTATTGATAAAAAATAAAAAATAAATGAATTATAACATAATTATGATCTATTAAGTAAGTGTTTGTATTTTTGAAAATCCCCCCCCCCCCCCCCCCACGTCTTCATTATAAATAGCTATTAACATCTAGAAACGGTTATTTTAGAGGAAAAATATAACGAAAATAAAAAAGATTGAGAAAAAAAATCAATTAAATAAGGGGTTCGTTTTTTTATGCAGTAACTACAGATAAGTTATCCGCAGTAAGTCCAATACGACATCATTTTGGGACGGAAATCATGGTGTTTTTATAATTTTAATTTATCCAGAGTTATTATAGTCTTTATAATTATAATTTTTTAATTCCAAAACGACGCCATTTTGAGAATAAATACAGATAATTTATTTGTCGTAACTGAGGAAATATTTTTCTGTTAAATAAGTGTGTGAGAGGAAAGAATTTTATTAGTAGCTTGATGGACATTTTATAAATACTTATTAAGGTAAGAGACTATGAAAGAGTTATTTTATAAATCAACATAAATGTATCTTGTACGTTCTTCATTATTCACCATGATATTATGTGTTGAAACTTCCTTAACAATCATCTAATAATTAATAATATTGACAACTGATCAATGTGTCTACCAAAACAAATAACATTTTATATTGCTCCACACATTCATTTCACTCGACACCATCATTTTTCGTGATATATACTAGAGGTTCCTTTTTTTGTTTCCTTTCATCCGTCCTTTTGTAAAAAGGAAGGTTAAAAAAAGTATTATCAATTATTACAAAACAGAAATATTCTTTTTTTTTCAGATAACTTTTTATTTTTATTTTTATTTTTTTTTCAATTGAATAAATATATTAACCTCTCTTGTGCCATAAAGAAAAATATTAACCTATCCACTTTTCAACAAAGATTAAAGCTATGAAGTGTTGATCTTTATTTCCAATATATGTTCAATGCTTCAAATGTTTGTTCTCTTAAAATTTATTTTAATTAAATACTTCTTAAAAATCAACCATGAAAACTAATGTTTTAAGTCTTAAGTATTTTTTTTTGGGTACAAAAATCTTAAGTGATTACAAAAACACAATCTTAAAACCAATCATGTTTTTACTTATTTATACGGTTTGTGAAAGTTAACAAAGTTTTGTCTATTCGTTAAGTTCAAATAATTTTTTTTTATGATATTATCTCTTACATACATATAAAAATATGTGTAATTCATTTTTTTTTTTCCTTCTCTTCTCTTTATATGATTCCACGTGAGCTCGACACACTTTTATATTTATGTAGGAGATAATTTTATCTCTTACAATATGAGAAATATTATTATTTTTTTAAATGTATGTTTTTGTAAAGATGACTTATTATGTTTGAATATTAGACTTAATCATGGCTTACATTGAACTCAATTAGAAAGAGCTCAAAGATCAGTCTATCACTATACTAGATATATCAAGGATAATAATAAATACTAACCTAGGCTTAATTCTTTAACGAAGCAAGTGAAATAATTTTTTTAAAATAAAAAAACTTTCGTTCGCAAATCACAACATCCATTAAATAAAGTTCCAAAATATTCTTGTTAACCTTATGAATTTCAAATTCCAATTAAGGCATAGGCATTAAGAATTTCAAACCGCAAACTGTTAGTGATAATTGAAGTATCTCTTGTTATGGCAAGAGATAACTGACAGTATTTCTCCCACGAAGGTGACACCCTTCATGTCGCCATTAATGGACATTGAATTTTGAAGGAAGAAGAAGATGAAAAAAAGGCAAAAAAATAAAAAAGTTAAAAAAATAAAAAAAAGATAAAAAATTGAAATAAACGACCAAAAATTGAAAGCTCGGAACCTGGTAGACCAGCTGTGCCTGTCGGCGAATATCCAAGCACACCCATAAGCACCCTCTTCCTCTCTCTTTCTCTCTCTAAACTATTCAATTCAACTGTGACACAGTTAGAGTTAGAGAGAGAGAGAGTGTGTGTAATTGTGTTTTGTGTGTTGTTTTGTTCTTCAAACTTTGCTACAAAGATTGAAACTTTCAATCTTCTTAGTTGCAATACTGCAAAAAAACCATCATGGGTATTCCATTATTACCCATTATTATTATCATCGTGGTATAGTAGTGAGGGAGAGTGTAATGAAGGCATAGCACAGCGCAGAGAAGGATTAGAAGAACCCACATGGTGTTTGAGTCGGAGAAGATTCTAATCTATTGTGGAAGCAATGTAGAACAAGCTTATTGCAACACTGGGTGGATAGGAACTACGGCTAGGACTCTGAGTTCTTAAGACTGAATCATTTTGATTTGGAAATGGTTTCATTTTGCTGCAAAAAGTGAGGATTTTGAGAACTGAGAAGTGGGAAATGGTGTGAAATTTTGTTGCTAGCAATTAGTCTTTGCTGGTGTTCTTCTTTTTTGCTTTTTTGTTTTTCTTGGTTTTTTGGATTTTTGGGTTTGAGGAATTGGGTGTCGGTGGATCGAGAGAGCAATGGAGTCTAGGATGGATCAGTATGAGATCATGGAGCAGATCGGTCGCGGAGCTTTTGGGGCTGCTATTCTTGTTCATCACAAGGCTGAGAAGAAGAAGTAATAGTCACCTTTTTTCCATTTCGTTGATGGGGCTATTGTTTTGTATGTTCATGCAAAATTGGTTAATGAGTAGGTTCAGAAGTTTGATTACTGAAGCTTGGTTTTCATGGATTGCAGATACGTGTTGAAAAAAATTAGGCTTGCGAGGCAGACTGAACGATGCAGAAGATCTGCTCATCAAGAGGTGAATTTGTTTCTTTCTTTATTTGTTTGGTTATCTATGCTTGTTGATTTGCTTCATATGCATGGAATCTGCTTTTGTTTATGGAGGAGATTTAACCTTTGTTGCCTGTTGGGAATTCTAGATGGCTCTTATTGCTCGAATCCAGCACCCTTATATTGTGGAATTCAAGGAGGCATGGGTTGAGAAGGTGAGAGAACCTTTTCAGTTTTTGTATTTTGTAATCACAGTCTTATTTTCTTTCAACAAATTGTTATGTAGTTTTACAATATTGCACTCTCTGTTCTAAACTAAAAATGGCTGGATTATGATTTCATTCTTTTGAGCTAAGCACATTCTACTTGTGTTTGTAGGGTTGCTATGTTTGTATTGTCACTGGATACTGTGAAGGTGGAGACATGTGAGTCTATGAAATTTACAGTGTCATGTAAAAGTTCATAAATTTTATATGCCCAATTTCTTAAAGTTTGTTATACTTGTTTTCTCCTCAAATGTGTAACAGGGCTGAATTGATGAAAAAATCAAATGGTGCTTACTTTCCTGAGGAGGTATTATTGTCTCACAGATGTGTGTGTGTGTGTTTTATCTGCATATTGTTTTCCCATATCTTGAGTTATTGTTTAAATTTTGTTATGGCTCACTTTGGAAGTGTTTGAAATTGCTCAGAAACTCTGCAAATGGTTCACTCAACTACTGTTGGCGGTAGAATACCTACATTCAAATTATGTTCTACATCGTGACTTAAAGGTATACTTATATGAAACAAACTATACGGCCTACCATCTCTTGCCTTTCATTGTTCCATTTGAAATATATTAAGTCTGATTTTGTTGACTCTGATGACAGTGTTCCAACATCTTTCTTACCAAGGATCAGGATCTTCGCCTGGGTGAGTTCGTCTATCATATTTGATTACCAAGTTACTATCATTTTTGGTGGCCAATCTTTGATTATATTGCAGATAAATTTTTAAGTCTTCATCCTGAATTTGTCTGTATTTTTCTGACATATAGGGGATTTTGGACTTGCTAAGACACTAAAAGCAGATGATTTGGCTTCTTCGGTATGTGTGAAATAGGGAACTTGTTGCTTTCTTCTCTGCCTTCGTTATATCCAAACCATTTGTTTAAAAGATGCAAGTATTCATGCCAGACTTTGTTCTGTCAATTTTCCATAGCATTGATGAATCCTGCATGCTAACACCATATGCTGATAAGCAGACTTACAGATTTGGAGTTTTTCGTCTTTAAATCATACCCCTCTTTCTCGGTCTTGTGTGGACACATACAGTTACTCATACTATGAAGACACCTATTCTAATTCACATATAATCATACATAGTTCTTTTAGGCATCTCCTAGTTTTTGTTCCCTAATACTTTATCTGTTCATGACAACTGGAAGCTTTATTGTTGTTAGTTCCTATTGAGTTTTTTCGTACCTCCATTGGCCGAGCTGTGGACTAATAATATCTTCTTAATTATGTTTAGTTAAAATTATCCTGTTGTTAAGTTTATTTCTTCCTTTAGATCTTCCACTCATTTATTTGGTCTATCTAAACTAGACTCTCACCAAAACACTTCTCATTTTAAAGCATACAGAAAGTATGCCATGGCTTCTAGATAGAATTTTGCTTAATCAGTTCTTTTTTCTCAAAAAAAGGGATAATAATATTTGTTTCATGCAAAACATAAATCTGCTTGAATCAGAATTGGCATCAAACCTGGACAAGTAGAGCTACTGGCCTATTTATTTTGGGGGCGGAAAATCCATAGAGATACTAGCCTTAAAATCTATCAATTATTTTTTTCTTACCTTTATGAGCACTTATAACTAGATTATTTTCTATTGTTTCCTCTTCTATATAATTTTTAAATTTTTTCTCTTGAAGAATATTTTGAGTATTTTTTCTGGTGTTTGCACTTTTCGTTATAATTTTTAAAACCGAGTCCATGCTCTATATGTTGGAATCGACGGAATCACACACACAATCGATAAAGAGAAAAGGGAAGAAAAAGAGAGATAGCGATTTACCTTGGTTCACCCAATGTAGGCTATGTCCAGCATATCTGCATTATATTCTCCTCACCGCACTCGTGACAAGTCACTCGGTTTACAAGGTGAATATAAATAGAACTACAAACCCTAAGCAACAACAGCTATTCATGGGTCCAAGCCTAAAATACTAAGAAAATAGGAAAATAAAATAAGCCAAAGGCTCAGATCAGTACCAGGCGTCCGCGGTCCCGGGGGCACTGCCCGTTGGCTTTCTCTGCGTTCTACCAACAGGAGTCGTTATCTAACTGCGAAGTATGAGCTATACCCGACGCTATAATTAGAAGTGTATTAGTTTAATAGGAACGATATTTGATGCCCAATGTGTAAGTGGTGGCAGAGAATGTTCAAAAGTAGGCTAATGGCTTTGTTCTATAGCTATATAGCAATCTTCAGCAACATACCCTTCCCTCTCTCCATTTTGATGTAGTCACTACTCAGCAAGCTTTTTCTATTTTCCTCCTCTTTTTAAAATATTTTTTAGAAGAAGAAGAAGGTGGAGATAGGAATTGAGCGTTGTTTGAGTGAATTGAATTGGCTAGCTTGCTTGAAATTTGATAGGTAAGACCAAGTGTTTTTGCTTTTATTGATAGGAAGACAAGAGTTTTTCCGAGATTTAGGCTGATTCAGTTGGAAGACTATGCTGTTGTAAACTTGTTTACTATTTCTCATATTTTATGATGATAAAATTCATATTTTAATAATGTTCATCTTCTAGAGCTTTGATAATAGGACATTGCTACCATCTTTTCAATTTATATCATTATATTTATTTACAAATACATTAGTAATTGCTGTAAATGTTTCTATGCAGGTGGTAGGAACTCCCAATTACATGTGTCCTGAACTGCTTGCAGATATTCCGTATGGATTCAAATCTGATATTTGGTCACTAGGTATATATTTTACGAGACAAGTATATGATACTTGTGGATTTGGTTTTGCTGCAGCTAAAATTTATTTTGTTGTTCAGGATGCTGTGTATACGAGATGGCTGCTCATCGCCCTGCTTTTAAAGCTTTTGTAAGATTTCTTCTGATTTTTTTTAGAATAGTTATAGGCAGGCTGTAATCTTTAGTGAATTCATTTAATGAAATATCTTCATGTTATAAATGAACATAATGTCTCACTGCTGCATCAAAGTTAGCAAACTTATGTTTTTGTGTAAGGTTTCTGTTTTTATATAGATATTTATGTATATGGAGGTATCTCACCATGGGTTATTTCTTGGGTTTTTAACAATGGCATTGTAAATCATGTTTCAGGATATGGCTGGATTGATAAGCAAGATAAATCGTTCCTCTATTGGCCCTTTACCTCCATGTTATTCCCCTTCCTTGTAAGTTTCTATCTGCTTTGTTAATATTAATAGTCTTTTGTTATTACCCCTCCTGATGAAGTCAGGCTTATGACAGCAAGATATAGTTGCTACTACGCGCACATGTGCTTCTGTTGTGTGCTTGGGTGCACTTGAGGACCTTGTTGTACTCTGCACTTTGTTGTGCAGATCGAATTTAGTTTCTTCTCAAGAATGCCTTTGGCTTTTTTTATTATCTTCATTGAATCTGAACTGTAGATCTTCCAGAACCACTTAAAAACAATGTATGTGAAACCATGTATCTTAAGCCGTCTCTGCTATTCACACAGAAAGGACCAAATAGGTCAATCTTATGGAAAACTGAAGGCTTGCATTGGCATTAGGAAAAGTTTAAAGCTGTCTTGCATCAGTGGATAAGAAATATTAATTTACTTAACTAGTTCTGTTCTTATTTTTCTATCTATGCTGGTTGGAAATCTTATTTTGTATACTCCTGTACCTACAGGAAAACACTAATAAAGGGCATGCTGAGAAAAAATCCTGAGCATCGACCAACAGTAAGGAACAAATTTATTTCCAATGTGACAAATGACAATGGTTTACCATCATTAGTTTTCCTAAACAACGTCACTTTATATTTTTACAGGCATCTGAGGTGTTAAAGCACCCTTATTTGCAACCTTATGTTGATCAATATCGTCCATCTTTCAGTCCTCCAATTTCTGCTGTCAACTATCCTCGGAAAAGTATGGCTGAAAGTGAAAACAGTTGTAGTTCAAGTAGTGACAGAGATAGTTTGATGTCAAATGAGAGAAACATTGCAACAGCAGTGCCAAAGTGTAATAACAAAGCCACCGAGACAGATCTAGCATCAATTGATGATGATGGCTCAGAGCATCTCCTGCCAAGTGAGGAAGAAAATGGGTCTAGCAATGCCAATGCCAAAGCCAAAACAGATGAGCAAGAGGTGATGAAACCATCTCACAATGAACAGTGTTCTAATGTTGAAGCTAAGCAGCCAAAAACAATTAGAAATATAATGATGGCATTGAAGGAGGGAAAAGTTAGAGAAACAACTTCTCCAATGAGAGGAAGTCGCGTAAAGGCTGGTGGTGTACCAACTCAGAAAATAAATACAGAGACATTGTCCAGATTGCCTAAGCCTACTTTTATTGCTCCTGGTTTGAAGCCTAATTTAGAGTCACCAAATGTTGCACTAGCAAAGGCAACTACTGATTCTGCAAAAAGGATTCAGGGATCACATCGTTCAAAGCACCAGGTACGTTACCATTTGAAATTATCAAAGTATCAGCTATTTTCAAAGACTTCCTCTTAAATTGAAACTTATTTCTACATGCTGCAGTTACTGATGACAGAATCTTCACCAAAAGTTAAACCCAGACATGATTTGACTCCACCATCTGGTCTTATCAAACAAGTAGAAGGAGATGGAGTTCCTGCCAAGTCAAGGCAAAGGACTCCCCCAACCTTACTTAGACGAACTTCATTTCCAGCACGAATGAGGCTGGCTGGGCATGATGTTCCAAATGATACTGGGAAGCTAGTTCTAAATAAAATAACACAGGAGCCTGAGATGAGCCATTGTCTGTTGACCAATGGCAATGTGCCTCATAGTTCTAGACAGATTACTAGAGAAAGAGAAGCTCAGAAGGCTTTTGAAAGAAGTTCCAAAGGATATACAGACAGCAGTAATTCTGCCTCATCTTCAGTTTCCATTCAAGGTTGTGAACTTGTTGATGATGCAACGACTTTTATTGACATGAGAGAACAGATAATTGCTGATCATGAGAGTGTAACCCACATTGTAGGTGTGGAATCATGTCCAGACAGCAGCCAACCTACAACCTGTTCACATTGTAAGATGGTTGAAAAAGTGTCTGAGCAAGCCTGTGAGGTTTCCCTGAATTTTCAGAATACTATTAGTAGTAATGAGAAAGTGAGTTCCAGTTTAACTCTTGATCACCATGTTGAAGATTCTAAGGTAATGTTTGCTTCTGAAGATGGTCTTCTCATAAATCAGACTACTATATCTGCTGCCTCTGAGTGTGATGATGGGCCTCTAGACAACCCTTCTGAAGCCACCATAGAAATCCAAGATCTTCAAGATATTTCCAAGGAAATGACTTTAACCAAGTCTCTCAAACATCCACCCCCAAGTTCTGGAGAAAAGTCTGTTTGTGAAGAAGTTGGTGCAGTAAGCAAGCCCAATGATATGCCTATTATATTGAGCCAGCCAAAACTCATGTGTAAGTCCACTGGTGATGATAAATTCACAGTGAGGGAGCGACTATCCCCAGTGGCTGAAACTGCTCCTCTGATTACCACTGCTAATCTATCAAGCCAGAAAATTTTGCAAGAGAAAGGAACTGTCTTGCAGAATGCAGCACCAGAAAGACCGGATACTGGTCATCTTCCTCCAGCCTTTGATGATGTCATACATGTTATACGCCATAGTAGTTACCGCGTTGGGAGTGAGCAGCCATTGAAGGAATCTGTGGAGATGGGAGTTCAAAATGTGGATGTTGGTAAGTTCATCAACGTTGTGAGGGATGATTTAGAAAAGAGAAACATAAGCTCACCTTTGACCCTTAAATCTTCAAGTTGCTCTGAAGCTGCAAGCTTGAAATCAAATATTTCTGATCAGTTGGAAATGAGAAACACGAGCACTCCTCCTGTCCTTAAATCTTCAAGTTTCTCTGATGCTTCAAGCATGAAATCAAGTATTTCTGATCACCCTGGCCTTAAGGAACAAGATGTGAGTAATCCTATTTCTTTAGTTTCAGAATCTGATTCAGCTGAGCTCAGTAAATGTACCACTCCTATGACTGAAGAAAAACCACCGGCAAAGGAAACATTGGATGTGAAATCTTTCAGGCAGAGAGCAGAGGCACTTGAAGAGCTCTTGGAATTGTCTGCAGAGTTGTTGCAGCAAAATAGATTGGAAGAACTTCAAGTTGTTCTAAAGCCCTTTGGTAAAGATAAGGTCTCCCCAAGGGAAACAGCCATTTGGTTAGCCAAGAGTCTTAAAGGAATGATGTTTGAGGAAAGTGGTGGACGCAGTTCATGAGGTACCTTACTTCCTACATGACAAGTTCACTTGCATTTAATGTATTAAAACTTGCTTTTATAGTCATAGCTATTCAAGTACCACTTGAATTTTCAAAGACAACAAAATTGGCTTTGTTGCTGCTTTTTTCATTATTGTAATTCTTTCAATGCTTTTATGCTGTTGTAAATAGTGACCATACAAATTAATAACATCAACTTACGATTAATTGTATGGACATTCTGTGCCCCGTCATAGTTGTTAAATATTAATGTAAGTACACCTTCAATGTTTTTCCCAAAACAATTAAATACCCAAGAGTTGCTATGATTAAATGGACCAAAGCAAAAGACATAAAATGAGTTTACTTAGTAATCACATAGAAACACAAACCATACGCCAATTAGCAATCAGATTCCAATGCTTTGTCTATACTATAACTTTAAACAAAGCAGATAAAGAATCTTTTTGATAGAGACAAATTGCAATATCACCATCATTAGTTACTAACATCATTTTTGCTCTTCTTGGAAAGTTGGCCGAATTTGCACTTTGTCCTTAATTTACGTGCTGTCCCCCTACTTCTCAGTTCCACCAAGTTTCCAAGTACCATCGTGGAACCTTTCTAAAGTATCGTTTTTGTTATCTTGGGGAGGGATTGCATATATATATATATCTACGCGTTTTGTTTTATGTTTTATGTGTTTTTGTTATTACTTTAATTATCCCCATTCCTCATATATACTTTTTTTCACTTTTGATCATTGTATCATCTTCACCTTCATAACAAGACCTATCTGCTGCTGTTAAAGGACAATAACAGCACTGTGCCAAAATTGCACTTGGCCACTACTAGTTAGTAGTTACTAGCTACTAGCTAGCATCATAGATAAGACACACCCTGGTTCCAAAATAGAAACCAATGGACATGGAGCAGGAGCACACTCCTACTGGCAGTACTACGAGAGGGAGAAGGCCCTTTGTGCGGGAACTTATCTGGATGGTGGTTTTCATCTTTGTTATCTGCATGGCCATCATCAGCATAGCTTGGCTTGTCATGAACCCTCATGACCCTAGTTTTCGGGTGATGTCACTTTCCGTTACCAACTTCACTGCCTCTGGTTCGCAGCTTAGAGGCAAGTACGAGGTGGAACTAAACATAGGAAACCAAAACAAGAAAGTCCAAGTGATTCTCGACCGTTTTGAGGTGTTTGTGTTTTATTGTGAGGTCATGCTCTCGGTGGATGCAGTGCAACAACCGATATATATAGAGAAAATGACCAACAAGAGTGTGAAGGTTGAGTTGGGTGTGGTTAGGAAATCATCCAAGGTGGTGGTGCCTGAGGGACTAGTTAAGGAATGGAATAAAGGGGTGGTGAATTTTAACTTGAAGATGGGGTTTAGAGTCAGATTTGAAGCTGGTATCTGGCCAAGCAGGGAAAAGTTATTGAATGCTTCATGTGTGGACCTTTATGTGGAGTTCTCCTCTCCAAAAGACACCGGCAAGCTTTTGGGTATAGGGAAGGACTGCCACATAGTTACCAAGATCACAGCACCCACATAATTATGATATATGAACGTATTTCATTATTATCTACTCCTTTTCAATACCGTTAGATCAGAATCTTAATTGATCTTCACTTTTTCTATTTCCTCTTGAGATTCTGGTCTTAACTGTGTTAGAATTTAGAAAGGAATCTATAAAATTGATATGTAAAAAAGTAGGCATAATATTATATTCCTGTTATAATACTTTCTTGCAAATATGGTAAGGGGTAAATGAGAAGAATAACAACAAAAGGAAGAAGAAAAGGGAAGGATTACCACGTACATGATCCATAGCGTAGTGCAACATTTTTATTTTTGGGGGGTGAAAGTTGTTTACCTTCGCTTAATAAGAGTAATATAAAATTTGTTTGTTGAATTTTCATGATGTATTATTTAATTATTTATTTTCTTATAAATTGGGTGCTGTTGTGGAATTGTCGATCCTTGAAAGTTGAAAGTTTCCGGGTAACTCATGGAGAGGAGTTTGGAGAATCTAGACCACAAGTTGTTTGGAAACAATATTTTTAAAGTTAATATACCTCATCATTGAAAATTAACCTTATTTTATTTATTATTTCATATACTTGAAAATAACATGTTTCAGTTCAAGGTTGCACTCCAGAAAAGAAAAGAAAAGTGAAAAAGAATTATGTTGCAATCATGAAAAGTTGTACGTTCATAATGGGCATTCCACGAAGGAGGCAAGAGGGATTTTGGTGGAGTGCAAGCCAATTACAATTTACAAATTATAAATCCTATTTATCATTCACGCTATTGCCATTTAAGCGATTCGAATCCTATTGCATTTGGTTCATTTCCTTTTTGACTTTCACCTTCTCGCATTTCTGATCTATGACCCCTTAAACGAACACTTTGATTACGCGTGGGATAACGGATTGAGTTAGATGCTGAAAAATCAACCTTCAATTCCTTTTTTTTTTTTAATTACATATTCATTTGTGTATAAACTTATTTTGATAAAATTTTCCCTTGTCTTCAAGCCCAATTACATTCAGGCAAGGTGCAAAAAAACATGTCTATATAATTCAATATTTATTTGTTAAATTATTTTAAATTTATTTTCCCCGTTTACAATATCTATTCTTACTTATTATTATCCTCATATATTATAATTACAATTTACAAATTATAAAAAGGGCATGATGTTTAATATTAATCTGAACCATTGATTTTTGCCAATTTGATTATGATAATTTATTGGGTTATATTTATTTATTAATTATTATTTTTAAATTGACAAAAATCAACCATTAAAATGTGGTGGCAAATTAAAAAGTTTGACTCAAGTATCAAAGCATTCTACACTATTACCATTTAAGCTATTCGAATCCTATTGCATTTGGTTCATTTCCTTTTTGCCTTTCACTTTTTCGCGTCTCTGATATATGACCCCTTAAACGAACACTTTGATTTGGCGTGGGATAAGGGGTTGAGTTAATTAGATGCTGAAAAATCAACCTTCAATTTTTTTTTTAATTACATATTCATTTGTATATAAGCTTATTTTAATAAAATCACATCCAGGCAAGGTGCAGAAAAACATGTATATATATTTCAATATTTATTCGTTAAATTATTTTAAATTTATTTTTCCTTTTTTTTACAATATATGTTCTTACTTAGTATTATTAAGATTTTTATTTATATCAATTTATAAATCACCCTTTCATTTGCTACTATTTCCAACAAAACATATTAAAATAAAAAACCATCATTCTACTATAACTATCATTATTTACAGTGAAGGCTGTTTTAGATTTTGATAAAGTTTAAGTGGTGAAATTCTAGAGGGAAAGTGGAGAAAATTTGAAACTCAAAACCTAAAGAGAGGGAAGGTGGGCAGTTGATGGGAATGAAGGGGAAGGGTTACTTAAGTCTTTAGGGTTTTGCCATGTCACCTAAGTGACTTTCTGTCATTTAGTGACACTAGTGTAATTTTTCTTTGAATTGTTATCAAATTTTTACTTGAAAACCCTCAAGATCCCAACTTTAAGTAATTAATATTAAATTTGTTTAATTAACATGTTTCTAACTCAAAAATCTAATTCGTATCTCACAGATACGCTTAATGTTGTTTAACTACAATGTAGTCCTTACGGGTATCCTTAACTGTACCCGGACTTCATAACTTTCTTAACTTTACATTATTGGTCTAATTATGACTTATTTGGCATATATTGGAATTATATTCCCTTTTCTCATCTTTTCTCATTTCAGAACTATACCGGCTGTGGTCACAGCAGTACAAAATACCCGGTAACAATGATTTTATCAAAATACCCTAATATGGGTATCAGGATTCACGGAATCAGATCCTCTTATCATTTATGATAATTATATCCTTAGAATAATCCTCTAACTCAGATTCACTGATTAGGGTTAATCAGATACATGTTACTGCATCAGCAGTACAAACTATTAGGTCGAAACTTACTTTCTCAGAAGACTCGCGATATGGGTGTCAATCTTTACAAAATTGAATTCTAAATTCATCTTTGATACTGATATTATTATAATAACTCTCTAACTCAGATTCACCCGGTTAGGGTTATTCTACTGTCTGTTGCTGCATTAGCAGTCAAAAATAACAGGCAAAAATTCATCTGTTCAGAATACCCACAATATGGATATCAAAATTCCTCTAATTTCATTCTCATCTCATTAATGATCCTTAGGTGCTCATAATAACTCTTTAATTTTGAATTATTCAATTTAAGGTTATTACACCTGCCAGAGGGGGAGAATTGTGATGTCAGCAGCAACTTTTGCATGTGGAAGTTGCAATTGTTAAATCAAATGGTGGGAGCTGCATTTGTTGTATCAGGCAGCAACAAAGCCACCATATCAGCCGCAAATCTAGCTGATATTTGCATCCTTCCACACTTGAGTTTTGCATCTATATATAGGGCTAGTTTTTTGGCATTTGGAGAGCATTGAAAGATCATCAGAGTGTGAGAGAAACACATCAAGTGTGTGAGAGAAAAATTTCCCTTTGTATAGTTTCTTTTTGTGTACCCAATTTTGTGTGTTATCCTTGTGAGAATTATTGGGTGTATTGGAGTTTGGGGTTTGAGTATTAAGCTTCCACATTTGTACTCTACTTCATCTTTAGTGGAACTTTTGATCTGTCTTCACCCCCTGATATAGGCACACTGTCGAACCACGTTAAATACTTGTGTATTGTGCGTGCCATTTATTCTCTCTTTATTTTTCTCTATCTCATATTTAACTTAAACCGATCCATTTTCATAACAATTTTTTAAGTACAAGAGTGGACAATGCATTAGACCTGTACTTATGCTAAGAATATCAATAAATAATTAATTCAATCAAAAAATTTAACTGTTAAATAAATACATATCAATAATTTTTTTATTATATCTCAATAACAAATTAGCACGAAATTATCAATTTGAAGTCAATACTTATGATCCGTCTTATATTAAAGAAATATTGATTTTGAGAACATGAAGTAATGATCCAAACCTTGGTCAATTTCCTTCCCTCGATCGAACTGACATTCTGAGTTTCTCTCGCTGGCTTGTGCTGGCCTTTGTAAATCTTCTTGGAAAACATTCTTCATTTTGTTCCCAACATCAAACTTGCTATGATCTCATAGCTTTTTACGAAAATTAAACCAAACATGTTTTTTCTCTTTTGATATATAAGTTTCATATCATGACCTTCCCCATCCATATATCAACCCAATTTCTCTTCCACTCGATGGGTGATGCCATCGGCAACAACCTTCCATCTCCCATCATTAATATCACCACCAAAACTAACCCACCTCCTTGTAAAAAATTCACTGATACCTGTTTCATGGTCATCGCAGTTGCTTCAATTTTGACACTTTCATTTGCCACCATAGCCATATCTTGGGTTCTCCTACGACCCAACAATCTCAATTTTGATATCAACAGGCTCTCTTTCTCTAACTTCAGCGTCTCTGAAGCCCAACTCCAAGGCCAATCCAATACCCTAAATATTACCATAAAAAACCCAAACAAGCACGCGAGTTTGGTTATTGATCATTTCCAAGTCTATTTATATTATCACGAGACATTGGTCATAGTAGGCTAGTAGCCGTTGTAAAATTTCCCATCAGCATGCAAATAATGGGCCTGACAATAATGAAGGGTGAGTACTTACAAGGACAGAGATATTCATTTACGAATTATATGAATGTCATTGAGAATATTCCATCGGGATACTATGTCGCATGGGCTCTTCGAACCCATATGGCAAATTCATGGTGAAAATGTCAGTAAGAACAAGATTTAACACTTTATATGAAATGTTAACATGGCAAATTAATTTAGATGTTGATTGTAGCATCAAAGACGAAAGTATCTATACTGATAGTGACTTCATGAGTGTCTGCAGTGTAGGATCATGTCTAGTGCACGCACGACGTTAGATTATTTCTTTGACCTGACTTATGATATGACCAAATAAATAGGCAATTCTCGTGATCAGTGAAGATTTTCAGTATTGTATTCGTCTCATTGGTGCAGCTATAGTCAATGGTTTTCTTTCCCCGACACATTTTAATTAAAAATTAAATACCATACTAACTTATATGTCTTATGTATGAATTCTTATGCATCCAAAGCTGAGGATTATTCAGCAGGCCGAAAAAACACTTGTTCAAAAAAGAAGCTATTAATCTATTTTTATAAAGCCTAATATATATATTTTATTTTTTGGTAAGCAATTTTATTTTATTTTATTTTAATTCTTAATAAGTATTTTAATTCTTAATAAATTTAAATAAATTAATAGATCAAGGTCAGGCCTTTCAATTTTTAAATATAAGTTATATCATACTTATAATTTAACCTATGCCAGACTAATAAGTCATACCAGTTTAAACAAATTTTTGCTTAAACTTGACTTATTTAGACCACGGCTTAGCATAACACAATTCTATTTACACCTCTATTTATATGTTCACACACTTAGTTTGGACCTTTACCTGCATAAATGATTTGA